CTATACTCTTTCCTTTTGGCCCCATTTCTTCGCTAATATTTCACAGAATGACCTCAACGTACGCTCCAGAATTTTATCGTATGGATGATTTCGACCTACTTCTTGGCGCACGATACCGTCTCTACGATATCCAGCATAGACGGATGCTTCATCTGTACTTTTGCATCCGATTACAACCTGCCCTTTTTGACTTCAATCAGAAATTGCATTGCCGCCTTCGTACAAGGTCAATCGAAATATGCGTTACACACGTACAAGAAATGCTGTTCTGCTTCTTTCATCACCATTCCGTATTATCGGGAATCTTACGCCTTCGTGTCGTTTGTTTCTCTGAAAAATGATGTAGCAGCTCATCTTTCGCTATTCCTCCGATGTAGATTACAGGTATGTATGGGATGATTATGCTCTGTGAACATCAACTTCTGCATGTAATTGTGTATGAATATACATGATCGTGTCGTCGTGAACTGTTTCTTGCTGCAAAGAAGGTCCGTATACAGGGATATGATGTCGTTTTGAAACGTTCGATCGAAAAGGAACAGAGGCGTGCCATCGTGTGTCGTATTGGTATGTTAATGTAGTGCCGCACTGTTCTGTTCGGTACATCATGGACAAGGCTAGTGCTCAGCTATCGTATGGGAACCGAGCATGTACAGGGGTCAACAAAAGTATATGAATGGATCAAATTGATCTACATGGGTCAAATTAAGTACAGAGATCAAATCGAGTACAGAGATCGAATCGAGTATGGGGATCGAATTGAGTGTGGGGATCGAATCCAGTACAGGGATTCAATTACGAGCAGAGTTCAGTTAGTGTGGGACGAAATATTAAGCAGAGACCAAACGTAGCATAAGGAGCTCCATAACTTCTCATATCACTTCACACACTCACGCTGTCTTGGAATAACGACAGCGGACGTTCATCAACGGAGGAGGCCAGTCTCAAAGAGAGCACAGCACTACCACCGACATCCCGAGTCAATGCATGAAGTCGAATACGATCATCAAAGTTAAGGAGTTGTCTACTAGGAAAGTCAAGTAGAAAAGAAGGTACTATAGAAATGATCCTGTAAAAGTACGGTCTTTCTTTGCTCGATGGATTCGCCGTCAAGCCTACTTTCTTCTATGAACCTCACGTACGACAAACCCTACTGAGTCCATTCACCATGGCGCCAATGTAGTCACTTCTAATTTCTTTTCGCCAGAACAAAAACGATCCGAAACGTCGTCAGACACTCCACCAATGCTGCGTGCAGAGATGAGCTTTGTGTGCGCTTGTAGGCACGGTAACCGAACTGAGCCCATATTCAACATCAGCACATTCGTGTTGAATCAGAACAGGGTCAAACGGCGACAAATGCTCAACCTCACAACTCTTAAGATTCATTTTCCATGTGTTTGCTTATGCCAGCATAGCACCACTGTCATGACTTGTAGTCACCAACACATCCAGCAAGTCGATACGAGTCCGAAACCCGTTTTGGAAAAGTAACGTTTCGTGATTCAGATCTACATCCTGTTAAATGTAGTATTGATTCGCAACATCAAAGACTTTCGTTATGTAATCGACTTTTGCTCGCCTAAACGTGTGCTCACACCAACTAGCGATAACCACGCAAAATGAATCAGCTTTCAAATCAACTCTTCATTGTAATCACCTCAAAGGTCGCACTGTTTATCTCGAGATTTCATCGCCTTCCTCAGTGCCGCCGTCACCATAGCTGCAGCACCACTTCCCCCCACATTCCGATGATAGAGAATTTGCCATCACTTTAGTATTAACGTCCACCAGATAATGAAAAGAACAGGAAACAAGATACCAAGTAGTCAGCCGCCTTGCAACGATGATGCTACAAGAACCCTATGTAAACTTGTTTGGAGCAAAAACGCACGCGTATATGGCTGTCGGAGTCGTTCTATACTCTTTCCTTTTGGCCCCATTTCTTCGCTAATATTTCACAGAATGACCTCAACGTACGCTCCAGAATTTTATCGTATGGATGATTTCGACCTACTTCTTGGCGCACGATACCGTCTCTACGATACCCAGCATAGACGGATGCTTCATCTGTACTTTTGCATCCGATTACAACCTGCCCTTTTTGACTTCAATCAGAAATTGCATTGCCGCCTTCGTACAAGGTCAATCGAAATATGCGTTACACACGTACAAGAAATGCTGTTCTGCTTCTTTCATCACCATTCCGTATTATCGGGAATCTTACGCCTTCGTGTCGTTTGTTTCTCTGAAAAATGATGTAGCAGCTCAACTTTCGCTATTCCTCCGATATCGATTACAGGTATGTATGGGATGATTATGCTCTGTGAACATCAACTTCCGCCTGTAATTGTGTATGAATATACATGATCGTGTCGTCGTGAACTGTTTCTTGCTGCAAAGAAGGTCCGTATACAGGGATATGATGTCGTTTTGAAACGTTCGATCGAAAAGGAACAGAGGCGTGCCATCGTGTGTCGTATTGGTATGTTAATGTAGTGCCGCACTGTTCTGTTCGGTACATCATGGATAAGGCTAGTGCTCAGCTATCGTATGGGAACCGAGCATGTACAGGGGTCAACAAAAGTACATGAATGGATCAAATTGATTATATGGGTCAAATTAAGTACAGAGATCAAATCGAGTACAGAGATCGAATCGAGTATGGGGATCGATTTGAGTGTGGGGATCGAATCCAGTATAGGGATTTAATTACGAGCAGAGTTCAATTAATGTGGGACGAAATATTAAGCAGAGACCAAACGTAGCATAAGGAGCTCCACAACTTCTCATATCACTCCACTCACTCACGCTGCCTTGGAATAGCGACAGCGGACGTTCATCAATGGGGAAGGCCAAGTTCAAGAGAGAGCACAGCACTACCACCAACATCCCGAGTCAATGAATGAAGTCGACTACGATCATCAAAGTTATTGAGGTTGTCTACTAGGAAAGTCAAGTAGAAAAGAAGGTACTATAGAAATGATCCTGTAAAAGTACGGTCTTACTTTGCTCGATGGATTCGCCGTCAAGCCTACTTTCTTCTATGAACCTCACGTACGACAAACCCTACTGAGTCCATTCACCATGGCGCCAATGTAGTCACTTCTGATTTCTTTTCGCCAGAACAAAAACGATCCGAAACGTCGTCAGACACTCCACCAATGCTGCGTGCAGAGATGAGCTTTGTGTGCGCTTGTAGGCACGGTAACCGAACTGAGCCCATATTCAACATCAGCACATTCGTGTTGAATCAGAACAGGGTCAAACGGCGACAAATGCTCAACCTCACAACTCTTAAGATTCATTTTCCATGTGTTTGCTTATGCCAGCATAGCACCACTGTCATGACTTGTAGTCACCAACACATCCAGCAAGTCGATACGAGTCCGAAACCCGTTTTGGAAAAGTAACGTTTCGTGATTCAGATCTACATCCTGTTAAATGTAGTATTGATTCGCAACATCAAAGACTTTCGTTATGTAATCGACTTTTGCTCGCCTAAACGTGTGCTCACACCAACTAGCGATAACCACGCAAAATGAATCAGCTTTCAAATCAACGCTTCACTGTAATCACCTCAAAGGTCACACTGTTTATCTCGAGATTTCATCGCCTTCCTCAGTGCCGCCGTCACCATAGCTGCAGCACCACTTCCCCCACATTCCGATGATAGAGAATTTGCCATCACTTTAGTATTAACGTCCACCAGATAATGAAAAGAACAGGAAACAAGATACCAAGTAGTCAGCCGCCTTGCAACGATGATGCTACAAGAACCCTATGTAAACTTGTTTGGAGCAAAAACGCACGCGTATACGACTGTCGGAGTCGTTCTATACTCTTTCCTTTTGGCCCCATTTCTTCGCTAATATTTCACAGAATGACCTCAACGTACGCTCCAGAATTTTATCGTATGGATGATTTCGACCTACTTCTTGGCGCACGATACCGTCTCTACGATACCCAGCATAGACGGATGCTTCATCTGTACTTTTGCATCCGATTACAACCTGCCCTTTTTGACTTCAATCAGAAATTGCATTGCCGCCTTCGTACAAGGTCAATCGAAATATGCGTTACACACGTACAAGAAATGCTGTTCTGCTTCTTTCATCACCATTCCGTATTATCGGGAATCTTACGCCTTCGTGTCGTTTGTTTCTCTGAAAAATGATGTAGCAGCTCATCTTTCGCTATTCCTCCGATGTAGATTACAGGTATGTATGGGATGATTATGCTCTGTGAACATCAACTTCTGCCTGTAATTGTGTATGAATATACATGATCGTGTCGTCGTGAACTGTTTCTTGCTGCAAAGAAGGTCCGTATACAGGGATATGATGTCGTTTTGAAACGTTCGATCGAAAAGGAACAGAGGCGTGCCATCGTGTGTCGTATTGGTATGTTAATGTAGTGCCGCACTGTTCTGTTCGGTACATCATGGATAAGGCTAGTGCTCAGCTATCGTATGGGAACCGAGCATGTACAGGGGTCAACAAAAGTATATGAATGGATCAAATTGATTATATGGGTCAAATCAAGTACAGAGATCAAATCGAGTACAGAGATCGAATCGAGCATGGGGATCGAATTGAGTGTGGGGATCGAATCCAGTATAGGGATTTAATTACGAGCAGAGTTCAATTAATGTGGGACGAAATATTAAGCAGAGACCAAACGTAGTATAAGGAGCTCCACAACTTCTCATATCACTTCACACACTCACGCTGCCTTGGAATAACGACAGCGGACGTTCATCAATGGGGAAGGCCAGGTTCAAGAGAGAACCCAGCACTACAGCCACCAACATCCCGAGTCAATGAATGAAGTCGACTACGATCATCAAAGTTATTGAGGTTGTCTACTAGGAAAGTCAAGTAGAAAAGAAGGTTTATGTGTATTACCAGTTATTTACCGCTCCAGGACAAAGGATTGTGTTGTATGTATGTCACGAGTCGGAGGGCCTAAGATAGTACCTGGGTTTAAAGGGCGGTGTCCTACCTGGATAGTGCCCTGTCGGTCATAAAGACCAGCTTATCACCGCGCCTCTGGCGGCTGAGGAGCCTGCAGGTTCCCCCGGACCTGCGCGACTCTCTTGTAGCCGCCCCTCTCCGTTGTCGATCCCTGTGTAGTTGGCAGTGCCAGCTCCAGATCCGGCGACTGGAGCGGACACAATGACTGGAAAGGCGAAATTCCAGAGTCCTAGCATCGCGCTTGAGCAGGTGGAGCGTGTCCGTGTATGTCTTGAGGTTACGCGGGAGCACCGAGCCTAGAGATCCATAGACAATCGCAGCGGACTCCACTCTCCACCCCTTCAGCCGGAGTTCATCGGCGATAGGCTTGTACTTGAGCATCTTGAAGTCATAGCTGGACTGCAGCGAGGAAAGGCGAGATCCAGCACCATGGGTCTCGAAGGTGACTGCCAAGTCAGCGATCACCATGGTCTTGGCATTTACGTCCCTCAGCACCATATCCGGACGCAGAGCCGCACCGGTGTACTCAGGAACCGTCTGATTGAGTCGTAACTCTGCTTGCGACTTGGTCCGTTGAAGCGCTTTCCTGATCTCCACACCAATTCGCTCGAGTGCAGTGTCATGACGCTGGCGGATTAAATCCATATTGGATGCACAGTGATTCAAAACGTGCGCCAGTGTTTCCGCACTCGAGCAGGCCGACTGTCGACAATGAGCATTTGGCCGCATACGGCGTCGCTTCAGAACCGAGTTCGTGTCCACTTGGTTTAGACGAGCCTGGATGCCGAACCGATGTTCAGCATCAGACAGGCCCGCTCCCGATAGCACAAACTTAGACCCGGGTCCACCGTGAACCCGAGCCGTCCGGCCTTGGTCCACCAGACCCTTCCACCGAGTCTGGTGTCGAATTTTCATGTGCAACTTCACGTGCCGCAAGACAGACTTGTGGTCAAGCCATTGGGTGTGGTGCGGCACGCGAATCGCAAACGCGTCCTGACCAGACTCGTCGGCGCGATCAGTAAAGGTAATACGGTGGATGCACAGCACCCGCTGCACATCCACCCAAACCGAAGCGATGTCCCCCGATCTGCGATGGATGGTGGCGTGGGGAGACGACGCGAGCTTGGAGTTCAAAAACAAACGTACGAGTTCGTCGTCTCGACCCGTCCAGTGGTCGTTCAATAGGCGGTATCGTTTGTGCACGACCTGTAGGACCTGAGCCTTCGCCACCGCCACTAGAGCTGGATCCTTGGAGTGCAACATCTGCCATGCGTGCGCCACCTGCAGAGATTGGTGCATCTCCACTAGAGACTGCAGGCCCAGTCCACCACCAGAAGTGGGCGCGTAGAAGAACTCAGTGGTCGAAGACTGGGGCAGGCGCAGCATATGTCGCAGTCCACGCTTCACGGCACAGTCGAATCCTTCGAGCTGAGAGCGAAGCGGGCGCAAGTGGCGAAGCGCGTAGTCCACCTTCGGATATACGTAAGTCTTAAGCGCTTTCACCACTTGCCACACCGCTAAGCCAGACTTCATCAGTGCCACAGCCTCTCGCTTTATCTGCTGGAGCTTTGGCTCGAGCTGGAGGCGGTGCTGAACATGGTCAAAACCATCGCCCACCCCCAAATAGCGATAGCTCTCATTAAGGGTGAGCGGGGAAATGACATCGCCATGAATCCCCAGCCGAACACTGTCGTCAAGTGTCGGGTTACCACGAGCATTAATGGTCACCGCAAGGCTCGCACACTTGGCAGGGTTAGCGCGCAGCCCCGTCCACTGGAGAAACCTCCGGACAACGTCATGGCAGCGGCGGATTCCATCGGCACTGTCACTGAAAACCTTGATGTCGTCGGCATAAGCGGTGGTGCACGGGCGGACACCCTCCGCCAGCGGCACACCGACATCCTCCAGTAGTTCCAAACGGCGGACCAGTGGGATGAGAGCAGCAATAAAAGAAGGGGCTCAAGGGGCAGCCTTGGTAGACACCCACTTCCTGTCGCACCGGGTCGGTCGCCCCGTCCTTCGCATTCATAACCACGAAAGCAGACCCCTCATAGATATCTTGGCATCGGTTAATGAACCGGGGCTCAACACCAATCCGGCGGAGCACCTGCCACATGAGGGGCTGCGGAAGCGAACCGAAGGCGTTTCGGAGGTCATACCAGACTTGGTAGAGCTTGCGGCGCGAGCGGCGGGTCTGATCGAGCATCGTAGTAGCCAGGAAATTGTGCTCATGGCATCCGTTAAACTCTCGAAACCCCTTTTGCGCCATGGGCAACCGGTGGTTAAGTTCCAACCAGCACGACAGCCGCCTGGCCAGCAACCCGCTGTAGAGTTTGTATATAGCGGGCTGTAAGCAAATTGGCCTCCAGTTCGTAGGTTGCAGCGGGTCGCCTTTCTTGTGAACCAAGCGGACCATGCCCACCTTCCAGAGTCGAGGTATCATCCGATGTAGCCAGCAGAATCGGTAAGCGGTATGCAGAAGGGGTACCAACTGCGGGGCAAACTGGCTGTAAACATCATAGCCAACCCCATCGTGCCCGGGGCTGGACGTTTTAGTTACCCTCAACAGCTGGTCCTCCACTTCGTCCATCGAAAAGCCTCGGAAAAGCAATCATCACCCAGAAGCGTCCGTGGGAACCCATTCAGAACATCCCGGAATTCCTGTCCGCAGTCAGCATCGTAATCAAAAGCGGTAGGAGCGGAACTCGTGCCGACGAAGTGCTGGTGAAGCTCCTCCCGTCCAATAGGACATGTATCGGGGTGCTCGACACCCGCAGATTCGGCAGAGGCACCATCGAGGATAGAGGAAACACACTTGGCTTCGTCTTGCGCAAAGCGGCGACGCAACTCGAGTTGAGCCATAGACGCTCGTATTCTACCCACGCGGCGGCGAGACTTCCGGACCGCGCGACGGTCACTCGGTACCGCCTGTTGCGTCGCTTGCATGTCATCAAGGGCCTCATCCAACCGATGTTCGCGCTGCGTACGCGTCACGCGAGGTGGGCGTTGGCGAGGACAGTTGTCTCTCGAGCTTGAAGTACCCATTGGTGACACCGAGAATGGCAGCAGCACTTCGCGAAGCCGGTCCGGGATGGCCGAGATGTATCCCTCACCAGATATCCAACTGTCCGAATCCGTAATCTTGCTCGCCATGACATCCGCAAAGTGCTGTACCGCAGCAGCAGCAATATCCTGCTCCTCCTCGCTCAAGTGACGGAGACGGAGCCGAGGTTGTCGCGCTGGAGTAGAACCCGGACCAATGAGAATAGTCGGGAAAACTTCACCCCCATCGCGAGCAGCGATCTCGGCTTCTACGTCCATGGCCTCGTCATCCACAGAGCCATCAGTATCCGCATCGGGAGGACCATATGTGACTGGCCCAGCCGGGGATGGGCTGGAAGGCGGAGAGGAAACAGGCGTGAAACAAGCGGAGAGGTCATCAGAGTGGGGCCCACACTCCAACGCGGTACGGCGGAGGTCAAGGGCACGGTTAGCCAGTCTGTCAGCGTGAGCGTTAGCTTGCCGGTCGATGTGACTGAGCTGGTACCAATCCAGGCGGCCCAACTCGCAGCGAACCCGACCTCGCAACCGCCGGAGCCGCCGGTTGGAGCAAGTAAATGAGCCCCGCACCTGGGCGAGCACCAAGTTGCTGTCTCCTTCAATCTTTAGCCTCTTGGCACCGTGGAACAGTGCCCCCTGCAGCCCTATCAATAGAGCAGAGTACTCCGCGGTGTTGTTGGTTTCACCGCGGGCAGGCAGGAAGTGGGAGCACGTCCAAACCACAGTACCAGACGCGTCTGTTACCACCGCACCAGCGCCACCAGCACCAGGGTTCCGACGACAAGCCCCGTCAAAACGTAGTAGCCAGTGCTCTGGAACCGCTGGGTGGTCAGTAGGCTCCACCACTGACAGTGATGGTGGCGGAGCTATCGGCGAATCAGCAGGTGGAACTGCCGTAGTAGGCGCGGTGCGGTCTACCAAAGGAGAATCAGGTACGCTGGAGGATGGCCGTCGAGTGCGAGTACGTCGCCCAGTGATGGGTAGCGTCACTACGAGTCGGGGGCCCCAACGAGTCATGGTTCGTCGGGGCGCAGCCGAAACAGCCACCCGAGAAGTAGGAGCAGGACAAGCCGGGACATCAGCGGCAGGCGGGACAGCCCCAGAAGACCCGATCGCGCCGTGACGTGGCCCCCACCGCGTAGCACGGGAGCTGGACGCGACAGAAGTCAGAGGTCGGGGCGCTGCCGGGGCTGATGTTGGTGCCTCACCCGTCCCGAGTCGACCGGAGACAGCAGCATCCTCCGTGAGCGAAGGGTCAGCTGCATCCAGAGTAGAACCACAAATATCCACAAGAAATTCGGAAATGTCATCATCCAGCACATGATCCAAAGTCAGGTCCTCGTTTGCCTCAACTGGGGGCCAAGCAGGGGTTCCAAGCACAGAGGTTCCTTGGTCCATGTCCCAGTCAGGGAGAAGCAGGCGGGTCAGCAGCTTCGTTTAAACGGCGCCGCTTCCCCGCCACCCGAACATGCGGCTGCGGTGGCGAAGGGCACCGCACGGGGGGGACATGCAGGTGCCCGGCTTGGTCCACGGGAGCAGGCACGGTGCTCTGGGATGTGGTCGCATCTGTGGGCACAGTGCTGCTTGATGCAACTGCTGTACCCACGGAAGGAGCCAGGACGAGGGACCCGGTATGTTCGGGGGTCACCTCGTCCTCCGGAACAGACCACACGGAACGAGAACGAGAACGAAAGTGGACCGGAGACGGACCCGGGGAGCACGTGCAGCCGAAGGGATGTAGGACGGGCTGTCCCGACACTCCATAGCATGCTTCGTAGCAGCTGCACGAGTCCTGTGCCCGATGCCGCACGTGCACCCGCTGTGGAAGTGGTCCACGAAGCAGGTGCCACGGTGGGAGGTCCGTCTGTGACTCGACAGCGCGCTCATGTCACATGCAGTGTGCCCACACAGCGTGCAAGGGAATGCGGGCGCGTTATGGGCGTACACTGATAGTACCGGGTCCGGTCGCCCTGTTTCGGGCTGGACATGTTCGTGGAGTGGACCCGGTACGTCGTGGGTGACGGCGCGCTGGCAGTCGTCTTTGACCATGTCCAGGACAGCGGCACTGGACAGGGCAGTGTCCACAAGGGACGTGGGTTCATCAAACCCGACTCGGTCGGGCTGCATGCATGCCGGACCGCCGAGTCGGTTGTCACAGAGGCTGTAATAGTGGGACAGAGACAGATGCTGCAGTGGACGCTGGCATGGGTGTAGCCGCGGCCACTGCAGTGTATCCAGCTTGGCCGGGCAGCTCCGTAGCCGCCAGACAAAGCCGGTCGTCATCACTTGGACAGTCTTCGTCAACAGTGAAAGCAATTGCCTCGTTACTCGAGCCCTCCCCATCGCTGCTGCTGCTGCTGTCCGCAGGGTCGCTGGTGTCGTGCGTGACGCCCAGGGCGCGAGCCGTAGCGGCTACAAGCGCGTACCCCGCGGAAAGCATGCCTGCCGCCCTGCCGGGTTGGGAAGCAAGCAAGTCTTCGTCGGGAGCCTTGGCAGGGGCTGGTGGGGCAGGGGCTGGTGGGGCAGGCGGGAGGGCAGCGGAGGTCGGTGCAGTGTCGGCTGGACCCGGGTGTAGCCTGTCAGCACCCAGGGAGTGGTCGCTCTGAGAGTCGGCGTTGTGGTCTTCATTGTCTTCTGGTGGTACCCGGTCGGGCAGCATGCCGCCCGCCCTGCCGGGTACCAAATCATTCGCATCTTCGATCGGGGGCCATCGGCGCACGGAGAAGACAGTCCGGGGTCTTGACGCGGCGTGTGGAAGTCACTCGGACCTGGGCAAGGCGTCTGAGTGCCCGGGGAGCCAACGCTCTGAGAGTCGGGCACGAGTCCAGGCGCCACCTCGACAGGCAGCATGCGGCACGCCCTGCCGGGTGGCACAGCAAACGGACGAAGGTCTTGGACGTCGTCTACAAGCCGGATAGGCGCCGGCGTGGCCCGTGCGGCCGGTGGCGAAAGCCAGGCGCCCTGACGTCCTTGAGCGGCTTCTGGTGATACCCGGTCAGGCAGCGTAACGCCCGCCCTGCCGGGTATCCAAACAATCGCATCCTGAGCCGAGGAGAAGAGCGGGGACGAAGACGGCAGTGGAGAGAAGTGGCGCGCGGGGGGCGACGCGAACGCGAGCGGAGGAGCCGACCGGCGCGTGGCGGTGTCGTGGCCACCCGTTTCGGCCAGCCCGGCCTCATCTCCCGACGACGCGTCATAGAAGGACGCGTCGCTGGCGAGGCTTGAGTAGCTGGCCGTGGAGGCCTCGCTTTCGGTCGACGGCGAGCGCTCCCGGAGTTCCCAGTCGGGCAACCAGAGCGGCATCCACGCATCCACGCGTGCGTCGAGCCGAACGAAAAGTTAAGGAGGTTGTCTACTAGGAAAGTCAAGTAGAAAAGAAGGTACTATAGAAATGATCCTGTAAAAGTACGGTCTTACTTTGCTCGATGGATTCGCCGTCAAGCCTACTTTCTTCTATGAACCTCACGTACGACAAACCCTGCTGAGTCCATTCACCATGGCGCCAATGTAGTCACTTCTGATTTCTTTTCGCCAGAACAAAAACGATCCGAAACGTCGTCAGACACTCCACCAATGCTGCGTGCAGAGATGAGCTTTGTGTGCGCTTGTAGGCACGGTAACCGAACTGAGCCCATATTCAACATCAGCACATTCGTGTTGAATCAGAACAGGGTCAAACGGCGACAAATGCTCAACCTCACAACTCTTAAGATTCATTTTCCATGTGTTTGCTTATGCCAGCATAGCACCACTGTCATGACTTGTAGTCACCAACACATCCAGCAAGTCGATACGAGTCCGAAACCCGTTTTGGAAAAGTAACGTTTCGTGATTCAGATCTACATCCTGTTAAATGTAGTATTGATTCGCAACATCAAAGACTTTCGTTATGTAATCGACTTTTGCTCGCCTAAACGTGTGCTCACACCAACTAGCGATAACCACGCAAAATGAATCAGCTTTCAAATCAACGCTTCATTGTAATCACCTCAAAAGGTCACACTGTTTATCTCGAGATTTCATCGCCTTCCTCAGTGCCGCCGTCACCATAGCTGCAGCACCACTTCCCCCACATTCCGATGATAGAGAATTTGCCATCACTTTAGTATCAACGTCCACCAGATGATGAAAAGAACAGGAAACAAGATACCAAGTAGTCAGCCGCCTTGCAACGATGATGCTACAAGAACCCTATGTAAACTTGTTTGGAGCAAAAACGCATGCGTATATGGTTGTCGGAGTCGTTCTATACTCTTTCCTTTTGGCCCCATTTCTTCGCTAATATTTCACAGAATGACCTCAACGTACGCTCCTGAAGTTTATCGTATGGATGATTTTGACCTACTTCTTGGCGCACGATACCGTCTCTACGATACCCAGCATAAACGGATGCTTCATCTGTACTTTTGCATCCGATTACAACCTGCCCTTTTTGACTTCAATCAGAAATTGCATTGCCGCCTTCGTACAAGGTCAATCGAAATATGCGTTACACACGAACTAGAAATGCTGTTCTGCTTCTTTCATCACCATTCCGTATTATCGGGAATCTTACGCCTTCGTGTCGTTTGTTTCTCTGAAAAATGATGTAGCAGCTCATTTTCGCTATTCCTCCGATATCAGATTACAGGTATGTATGGGATGATTATGCTCTGTGAACATCAACTTCCGCCTGTAATTGTGTATGAATATACATGATCGTGTCGTCGTGAACTGTTTCTTGCTGCAAAGAAGGTCCGTATACAGGGATATGATGTCGTTTTGAAACGTTCGATCGAAAAGGAACAGAGGCGTGCCATCGTGTGTCGTATTGGTATGTTAATGTAGTGCCGCACTGATCTGTTCGGTACATCATGGATAAGGCTAGTGCTCAGCTATCGTATGGGAACCGAGCATGTACAGGGGTCAACAAAAGTATATGAATGGATCAAATTGATTGTATGGGTCAAATCAAGTACAGAGATCAAATCGAGTACAGAGATCGAATCGAGCATGGGGATCGAATTGAGTGTGGGGATCGAATCCAGTATAGGGATTCAATTACGAGCAGAGTTCAATTAATGTGGGACGAAATATTGAGCAGAGACCAAACGTAGTATAAGGAGCTCCACAACTTCTCATATCACTCCACTCACTCACGCTGCCTTGGAATAGCGACAGCGGACGTTCATCAATGGGGAAGGCCAAGTTCAAGAGAGAGCACAGCACTACCACCAACATCCCGAGTCAATGAATGAAGTCGACTACGATCATCAAAGTTATTGAGGTTGTCTACTAGGAAAGTCAAGTAGAAAAGAAGGTACTATAGAAATGATCCTGTAAAAGTACGGTCTTACTTTGCTCGATGGATTCGCCGTCAAGCCTACTTTCTTCTATGAACCTCACGTACGACAAACCCTGCTGAGTCCATTCACCATGGCGCCAATGTAGTCACTTCTGATTTCTTTTCGCCAGAACAAAAACGATCCGAAACGTCGTCAGACACTCCACCAATGCTGCGTGCAGAGATGAGCTTTGTGTGCGCTTGTAGGCACGGTCACCGAACTGAGCCCATATTCAACATCAGCACATTCGTGTTGAATCAGAACAGGGTCAAACGGCGACAAATGCTCAACCTCACAACTCTTAAGATTCATTTTCCATGTGTTTGCTTATGCCAGCATAGCACCACTGTCATGACTTGTAGTCACCAACACATCCAGCAAGTCGATACGAGTCCGAAACCCGTTTTGGAAAAGTAACGTTTCGTGATTCAGATCTACATCCTGTTAAATGTAGTATTGATTCGCAACATCAAAGACTTTCGTTATGTAATCGACTTTTGCTCGCCTAAACGTGTGCTCACACCAACTAGCGATAACCACGCAAAATGAATCAGCTTTCAAATCAACGCTTCATTGTAATCACCTCAAAAGGTCACACTGTTTATCTCGAGATTTCATCGCCTTCCTCAGTGCCGCCGTCACCATAGCTGCAGCACCACTTCCCCCACATTCCGATGATAGAGAATTTGCCATCACTTTAGTATCAACGTTCACCAGATGATGAAAAGAGCAGGAAACAAGATACCAAGTAGTCAGCCGCCTTGCAACGATGATGCTACAAGAACCCTATGTAAACTTGTTTGGAGCAAAAACGCATGCGTGTATGGCTGTCGGAGTCGTTCTATACTCTTTCCTTTTGGCCCTATTTCTTCGCTAATATTTCACAGAATGACCTCAACGTACGCTCCTGAAGTTTATCGTATGGATGATTTTGACCTACTTCTTGGCGCACGATACCGTCTCTACGATACCCAGCATAGACGGATGCTTCATCTGTACTTTTGCATCCGATTACAACCTGCCCTTTTTGACTTCAATCAGAAATTGCATTGCCGCCTTCGTACAAGGTCAATCGAAATATGCGTTACACACGAACAAGAAATGCTGTTCTGCTTCTTTCATCACCATTCCGTATTATCGGGAATCTTACGCCTTCGTGTCGTTTGTTTCTCTGAAAAATGATGTAGCAGCTCAACTTTCGCTATTCCTCCGATATAGATTACAGGTATGTATGGGATGATTATGCTCTGTGAACATCAACTTCCGCCTGTAATTGTGTATGAATATACATGATCGTGTCGTCGTGAACTGTTTCTTGCTGCAAAGAAGGTCCGTATACAGGGATATGATGTCGTTTTGAAACGTTCGATCGAAAAGGAACAGAGGCGTGCCATCGTGTGTCGTATTGGTATGTTAATGTAGTGCCGCACTGTTCTGTTCGGTACATCATGGATAAGGCTAGTGCTCAGCTATCGTATGGGAACCGAGCATGTACAGGGGGTCAACAAAAGTATATGAATGGATCAAATTGATTATATGGGTCAAATTAAGTACAGAGATCAAATCGAGTACAGAGATCGAATCGAGTATGGGGATCGAATTGAGTGTGGGGATCGAATCCAGTATAGGGATTCAATTACGAGCAGAGTTCAATTAGTGTGGGACGAAATATTAAGCAGAGACCAAACGTAGTATAAGGAGCTCCACAACTTCTCATATCACTCCACTCACTCACGCTGCCTTGGAATAGCGACAGCGGACGTTCATCAATGGGGAAGGCCAAGTTCAAGAGAGAACCCAGCACTACCACCAACATCCCGAGTCAATGAATGAAGTCGACTACGATCATCAAAGTTATTGAGGTTGTCTACTAGGAAAGTCAAGTAGAAAAGAAGGTACTATAGAAATGATCCTGTGTAAGTACGGTCTTACTTTGCTCGATGGATTCGCCGTCAAGCCTACTTTCTTCTATGAACCTCACGTACGACAAACCCTGCTGAGTCCATTCACCATGGCGCCAATGTAGTCACTTCTGATTTCTTTTCGCCAGAACAAAAACGATCCGAAACGTCGTCAGACACTCCACCAATGCTGCGTGCAGAGATGAGCTTTGTGTGCGCTTGTAGGCACGGTAACCGAACTGAGCCCATATTCAACATCAGCACATTCGTGTTGAATCAGAACAGGGTCAAACGGCGACAAATGCTCAACCTCACAACTCTTAAGATTCATTTTCCATGTGTTTGCTTATGTCAGCATAGCACCACTGTCATGACTTGTAGTCACCAACACATCCAGCAAGTCGATACGAGTCCGAAACCCGTTTTGGAAAAGTAACGTTTCGTGATTCAGATCTACATCCTGTTAAATGTAGTATTGATTCGCAACATCAAAGACTTTCGTTATGTAATCGACTTTTGCTCGCCTAAACGTGTGCTCACACCAACTAGCGATAACCACGCAAAATGAATCAGCTTTCAAATCAACGCTTCATTGTAATCACCTCAAAAGGTCACACTGTTTATCTCGAGATTTCATCGCCTTCCTCAGTGCCGCCGTCACCATAGCTGCAGCACCACTTCCCCCACATTCCGATGATAGAGAATTTGCCATCACTTTAGTACCAACGTCCACCAGATGATGAAAAAGAACAGGAAACAAGATACCAAGTAGTCAGCCGCCTTGCAACGATGATGCTACAAGAACCCTATGTAAACTTGTTTGGAGCAAAAACGCATGCGTATATGGTTGTCGGAGTCGTTCTATACTCTTTCCTTTTGGCCCCATTTCTTCGCTAATATTTCACAGAATGACCTCAACGTACGCTCCTGAAGTTTATCGTATGGATGATTTCGACCTACTTCTTGGCGCACGATACCGTCTCTACGATACCCAGCATAGACGGATGCTTCATCTGTACTTTTGCATCCGATTACAACCTGCCCTTTTTGACTTCAATCAGAAATTGCATTGCCGCCT